TGGGGACATGGAGGTGGCATATTGGATGTTGAGGTGACACGGGGGACGTGGAGGTCACACAGAGGTGGCCTGGTTGGCACAGGTGATACAGAGGTGACACAGGTGACACATGGGTGACACACAGGTGGCCTGGGTGACACACGGGTGACACAGGTGACACACAGGTGACACATAGGTGGCCCGGGTGACACACGGGTGACACAGATGACCCGGGTGACACACAGGTGGCCCGGGTGACACACAGGTGGCTCAGGTGACACGCGGGTGACACGCGGGTGACCCGGGTGACACAGGTGACACACAGGTGGCCCAGGTGACACGCAGGTGACACAGGTGACCCGGGTGACACACAGGTGACACACAGGTGGCCCGGGTGACACGCGGGTGACACAGGTGGCCCGGGTGACACACAGGTGGCCCGGGTGACATGCGGGTGACACAGGTGACCCGGGTGACACACAGGTGACACACAGGTGACACGCAGGTGACACGCGGGTGACACGGTGACAGCGCTGTCCCTCACCAGGCAGTGCGGGTCCTGGAAGGCGAAGTGCAGCCGCGTGATCCAGCGCCGGTCCCCGCGCGCCAGCACGTCCCGCTCCTCGCGGAAACAGGACACCTGGGACAGGGACATGGGGGACAGGGACAGGGACATGGGGGATCCAGTGTCCCCAGTGTCCCCCCAGTGTCCCCCCAGTGTCCCCAGTCTCCCCGATGTCCCCAGCTGTCCCCAGTGTCCCCAGCTATCCCCGGTGTCCCAGGTGTCCCAAGTGTCCCCAGTGTCCCAGGTCCCCCCAGTGTCCCCAGTGTCCCCGGTGTCCCTGGTGTCCCCAGCTATCCCCAGTGTCCCAGGTCCCCCTAGTGTCCCCAGGTCCCCTCAGTGTCCCCAGTGTCCCCATTGTCCCCAGTGTCCCTGGTGTCCCCAGTGTCCCAGGTGTCCCTAGCTGTCCCCAGTGTCCCCGTTGTCCCCAGTGTCCCCAGTGTCCCCCCGGTGTCCCCAGTGTCCCTGTGTGTCCCCCAGCTATCCCAGGTCCCCCCAGTCTCTCTGGTGTCCCCAGTGTCCCCCCGGGGTCCCCAGCTGTCCCCACCTCTCCCTTGCGCAGCATGTCCCACTTGTTCATGATCTTCATGGCGTAGATCTGCCCGGTCTCCCTCATCCTCACCACGGCCACCTGCGGGGGCACGGGGGGGTCACGGGGCTCGGTGTCCTCGGTGTCCCCCCGGTGTCCCCCGGTGTCCCCGCTGTCCCCTGACCTCGCTGAAGGCGCCTCTCCCGATCACTTTGAGGATCTCGAAGTCTCCGCGCTGCAGCTGCAGCTCCTGGACCCGCGCGGCCGCGGGCTCGGCTGGGGGAACCGGACCGGGACCGGGGTCAGGGACACCGGAACCGCACCGGGACCGGGGTCAGGGACACCGGAACCGCACCGGGACCGGGGTCAGGGACACCGGAACCGCACCGGGACCGGGGTCAGGGACACCGGAACCGCACCGGGACCGGGGTCAGGGACACCGGAACCG